AATTGCCTGAGCCCACGAACTCGAGACCCGCCTGAGCAACTTGGCGAGACCTCATCTCTACAATAAATCAAAAATTAGCCAGGTGTGGTAGTGCGCGCCTGTAGTTCCAGCTGCTTGGAAGGCTGAGGCAGAAGGATCGCCGGAGCCTAGCAGGTCGAGGCTGCGGGGTCGGGAGCGGCCACTGCACTCCAGTCTGGGTGACAGAGTGAGACTCCAACTAAAAAAAAAAATTGTTTTTAACCTTAAATAGGAAGCTACAGTTTGCTTCCCGTCCCCCTGCATTCAACCGTATGCTTTAGAGACCGTTTACGTAAATACACACACACAGACAGACATATCTCTTGAACAAATATACGATCCCACTGTTAAACTTGCTTTTTCACTCACTGAGACTTTCCCTTTTCTGCTTTGCATAATTATGTGCATGGGGTACTTTTTAAATACAAAAGAAAAATGAATAAAGAAAATAAAAATCCAAACCTCTAACCCTATTAAAACTAAAGTCTGCCAGGCCAAAGACAGCCCACTGGGCCCAGTATGCCAGACAGTTCCTGGCTGGTTGCCGTACCCCCCTCAGCCCCCACGTGTCCTCGGTGAGAAAGTGCCAGAAAGGGGCTCCCGACAGGGCAGCCCTGGCCTGAGGCTCGTCGCATCCAGGCTCTCCGAGGTGGGGGGCAGGCCCAGCGCTGAGGAAAGTGGTGCCAAAGCCCAGATCCAAGGCTGTTCCCGCCTCGGTGGGAAGCCTGGCACAGCCAACACTCACATCCCATCTGCCGGGAGGTGCGGGCCCACTTGAGACGGTCTGCTTGGCAGCTGGGGGTGGCCATCTGGGGCAGGCCGGCCGGCCTGGAAGGCAGCCTGGGCCCTTCGCTCTGGCCCCCAAGCCTTGGTTTACCAGAGCTGGAGGTGTGTGTGAGGACAGAAGGACAGAACCCATCTGTGAGCTCAGCCTCTTCCTCCCCAGCGTGGTTCTCTGACCTCTCAGGAAAGAATGGAGGCCACGACAGTGGCGTCAACCTCAGTGACATCTGGCACTCAGAGCACTTACTGTCCTGCAGCCTCATGCACCCCCTTCACGTGTCCGTCCGGGGGACCGTCCCAACTCTCTAGGAGACAGGTAATAGCACAGAGTCTATTTTACAGACGAAGAAACTGAGGTACGCAGAGACACAGCCATCTGCAGAAGGCCACACGGAGAGTGAGGGACAGAACCAGACTGAACCCGGGGCTGTCTGTTCCTACAGCCGGAATTCAAAGTCAACCAGGCAGGCACTGTGGCACAGTGGCTAAGGGCATGGGCTCAGGAGCCAGGCAGCCTGGGTCCACATCCTGGCTCTGCCACTCTCTCAAAGTCCTCATCTGTAGAATGGGATTAATGATGTGGGAGCCGTGGAGAGGACCTGGCGGGCCAACACATAAGACACTTAGGATGGTGCACGGCATTAATACGTGCTACAAGTGGCGCATCATTACGCTGCTGTTACTACTTCTGGGCTCTGGGATCCTCTGCTCTGGACCCCTCCGTGACGGGAAGGGCCTGAGGAAGGAGGGAGACAGACCTTGCTGGCCACTGCCCCTTCCTCCAACTCCACAGGAGGGGGTCCTCAGGCCTGAGTGCCCACGAGGGCAGTTCTGTAAGGGGCTGGGCCCAGGACCGAGTCTGTGTGTGGCCTGTGTGTATGCGAGGGCAGAGAGGCCTGCCTGTGGGTGTGAACTCCTGGGCAGGTGACAGTCTACAGGGCTAACTTGGGGGTAACTAGAGGACAGCAGACCAAGATCCTCCTTATAGCACCACTGGGTTCTCTTCAAGTATAAGGCCCAGCACTGCAGGCTTTCTATGTGCAAGCTTCCAAACCCACACCATAGTCCTGTAGGCTTGGGATTTCTAAGGAGAAACCGAGGCTCTGAGAGGGAAAGCCATGAGCCCAAGATTCCAGAGCTGCTGAGTGGCCAAGCTAGGACACACACGAGGTCTCCAAGAGATCAAGCATGGTCCCGCCTCAGGACCTTTGCGCTGGCTATTCCCTCTGCTGGGAACGCTCTCCCTCCAGCTATCTACACAGCTCCCTCTCACGCCTCCTTTAGGTTTCTACTTAAATGTCATCTTCTCAGTGACATCTCCCTTGACCATTCTGTCTAAAAGTCTAACCACCCCTTACGCTTATTTCTCTTCCTCGCTCTATTTTGCACTTTGTCAGCAGGTTCACATGGTATAACTTACTAAGATGTCTTGTGCACTGTCTGTTTCCTGCACAGGAACATAGTTCCATGAGCATCCTGGCTGCCTTACTTGCTACTGTACCCTCGGTGCCCAGCACAGGGCTGGCAGAGGCTAGTGCTTAGCAAGCCTCTGCAGAATGGATGGATCCCAGACTCAGAGGGTCTCTGTCCCAGAGTCTCCAGCAGCTAGTTTTGTGGGTGCTGGGGGTAGGAAGTAGTCAGAAGCGGGCAAAACATCACGTCAGTTTCAAACTTACTGACTAGGAACCACAGCAAAAAAAAAAATTAAACTCTGACGCAATATTTATGTACTAAAGTCTCCTGACTCTCAGAATAGGTGACAGACTCTGTTTCTTAAAAGTTTCATCCTATGATTCTACTTTTTTTTTTTGAGTTGGAGTCTCACTCTGTCGCCCAGACCGGAGTGCAGTGGCCGCTCCCGGCCACCGCATCCTCGATCTGCTGGGCTCCGGCGATCCTTCCACCTCAGCCTTTCAAGTAGCTGGAAGTACAGGCGTGCGCTATCATGCCCGGCTAATTTTTTGATTTACTGTAGAGATGAGGTCTTGCCAAGTTGCCCA